CGAAAAGATTTAGTGATAGGCTGGATGACAAATGATGCAATAAATCGATGAGAAAATCGTCTATGGCTTTATACCTTTCTAAGCTCTTACTGAGATAAATTACTGCCTGCATTGAGAAAGAAGCTAAGTATATAAAACTAAACTGAAAAAGTAATCAAAGTGAGGGACGACTGTTAGCGCAATTAAAAATTCCTTAAAGCACATGTTTGTTGTCTGAAAGATTTAGGGGGACTACTTAATGGTAAAAGTTAGACGTGTCTTCTAATCTTTCTTATGATCGTTTAAAGCGTGACTTAAGAATAGTGGTCTCGACAAGAAAAAGCTCTAGTAATTCTTGAAACATCAAAAGCTGAATGCAACAATCTTACCTTTGATTCCGGCGACAACCTTAAGGTTCTCCAAGGAGCCCGCAGACATCTTGCTCAAGGCGACTTTCCATTCGGGATCGACGTCAGCACAGTCGGCTTCGGACATGCGACCGAGCGTTTCGAGCTCCTCAGCGGCTGAGCCATAATTTCCGGCCGCTTCCAGGATGCCTTTGGCCGGACTCGGCTGTCTTTCGATCATCGACAGCGGTCGAACCTGTACTGTCGGGATACCGGTGGACAGCGCCGCCTCGAAGTTGCTCAGCTTGCTGCCGCGGTAGGGTTGGAAGCCGCGAAAGCGAGGGGGCAGCGGAGGAGTACGACTGTTGATCCCGGGTGCGAAACGCACTGAGTCATTGTACAGGTGATGCTGGTCCAGCAGAATCTCTTCGTTCAACTCTTTCGCGCCGCCATACTTCCGAAACCTACAACAACCGGTACTACTAAGTCACGCTCAATTAGCCACAACACTGATACTGTACGCAGCACAGACCTCCACAACTTTTAATATCGCGACGTATTCATATACAGCATCAAATTCAAATGAAATCCAATGATTATGCTTGTAAAAATGCAAACAACAGCTAAAAACAAACCCCGGGGCAGAGCTACAAATGAATCTATCTGTTACAGTACACTTTTGAGTATTACACTGCTTCTGCACTTCCGTTTCAACATCAAACTCACAGAGTAATTGCTCACATTACAAACGAATATAGACAGAGGATTGCAACGGCGAAATGCGCCATCATTATGTTTGTATTTCAAACGGATCGGCAGTATTGAAAGCACCTATTTGTGAAAGCTATCGGGATTATATATTTTACCTCATTAATCGCTGGCTGTCAGTGTTCATACCGTTTGGCAAACAGTTTGTAACTTCACCTGGATTAGTCAGACTGGACGGTAATCGGCAACGAGTCGTGCGACCATAGTTACGGTTTTGAGGTTTCTTATTCTCCAAGCACGGACACCCCCAGTTCGTGATGTAATGTTCCCGCCGTCGTGGTGCGTCACCAAGCAGCCCAGTTGTCCGCATGGGTACCAGCTGACAGCCATGTCGCGTCATGCGGCCAAGCTACATGCCCTATCCAACGCATCTTCCCCGTTTTACTTTCGACCATGACATCCTTCACTCCCGTCCATTGTCTGATCACCTACGTTTATTGTAACTCATGTCCCCAGAAAATAGATCCACTAGGATATACACATATGAAGCTGAAACACTACAAGCCGTTGCAAATAGTTTTCTTCATACATCTGTTGGCATGCATGAACCAGGTTTCCTCGGTTTTCTTACAGCCATATATTTTCATCACAGTTTGAGCCAATTTATCTCACATGTTTCGCTGTTTTCAAGGTCAACCACAAAAAAATGAAAATTTTTTTCTCAGACCTGCTGTCACAGTTAATTTCACTTATTCCTGTACTACTGAGACGATCATCGTACCGTATAACCAGAACTGTAAACTGATTAGTTCCATCAGCATCAGTTCCATAGCATCAGAAAATTATGCACTGTATCTCTTTCCAAAGCTGGTCTAAATGGTCTAAAATCACAGAAAGCTTCATCAAAGCAGATATCTTCATACATTTGCGGAACTGAGTAACATTTAACACATGCAATGTTAAGGTACTTGACCGTGATGATTCAAAGTAGATAACAAAATACTGGCATTAAGATAAGAGAAATCTACAGCCTTCCGAACTCAGCTTTTTTTAAATAAACTGATGACGCTATGCTTCTGAACTCCAGATGGCGTTTGCATTAAACAATAACACGAATATATTATTCGATAGCCAAATTAGGCGAAAGCGATTCGATTGCTAAACTCTTGTCACAATTTATGGAAATATCTGTTTCTTACGTGGTTGTCCCGCACATACAGTTCATTACATAAATTACCGATGGTTTAAGCCATACTCCGTTCCTTGTCTATTGTATATTATGAATATATTAAATTATTTAAATACTGAAATATACATAACAATCATCTTCTGTGATAATGAAGGAATTTGCTGCATCAGTGTGTGATTGGATTTCTTTACCTGTGACGTCTACACCAACGACAGACGCAGATTACGGCCGCTGCCAGCAGCACGGTCAGAAACAGCACTGCAGCGACCACCACGAGGTCTGTCATGGTTATGCCAAACGCGCCTGCCATCATGTTCGGTGGTCCGTAGTCAGCAATGCTGCAGTCGATGCCTGTCCAGCCTTCTGTGCAGTTACACTGGAATCCGCTACGCAGTGGAATGCAGACGCCGTTGTTCGCGCAAGGAGAATCAGCACAGTACGACGGGAACACCGCTTCCTCGCAATTGTCCCCTAAAACAAAACAAATCGTGCTATGACCTTTGCTGAGATGCATGATCCAATGAGCGAAGGAGCGAGTTTTAACATGCACATGCCAAAATAAAATATTTTGCAACTACTGGATTCCTATTCTTTTGACAAGAGCGAACAAGACTACTTAACGTATTCATAATGATATTCAGGTATACCGATCGAGACATTTTTCACAGAATCTGAAAGAAAGCTAATTTACACACGCAGATGATCAGACACAGTTTTTAGGCAGACCTGGTTTAATGCCTATCTGATATATGCGGTTGGTTGTACACTGTGTTTATTTATGTAGTACGCTTAAGGACTCACCCATGCAGTGATACACAAAGCTGTTTGATGAAACTGAAACTGACGAGATTCAGCGAAAGACCTGACAGCATAGAAAGCTAACGTCAGGCTTCTCGTCATAAGCATGGATGGTAGGAACAGTGACAAGACTGCTAAAGTTCACTGGTTGAGAGCCAAGCATTTCTTTGCAATGACCACTACAGCCATTACTACGAAACGATACAGAAACAAAGATGAATGTCTTCGCAAGAACCGAACTGACAGAAACACTGTT